ATTCACCACCTCCACGGGCGGCTGGTAGTACGGATCGATCACGTCCACCTGGTAGCCTGGGTTGTACATACTCCTTGCTTAACTTTTCTACTAACTTTGGTGCTAGCTAGTGACTATTGTTAATAGTAACTGGCCTAAACTGCTCGACTAAGTGAACGCCTCTCGGTAACGCGCCTTTAACTGAAACATCGAACGCAAATGGCTGGCGGTTTGGTGGAAATATCTTACTCATTATTATCTAAAGCCGGTAGGCATTTGATCAATGCCCTGCCCTGATTACGAATTTGTGTACACGCAAATAACATTGAGAAAACAGCCACAGTGGGACAATTTGAATAGGAAATTCAACACAGAGGGAAATGTTAAAGTACATTGTTCTTGATTTGAGAACATTCGTTCTTAAAAACCGGGTAAGTACATGTTGGTATCAATTATCTCAATATTAGAACGAAATGGTGAGAAGAAAAAAGTTAAATGGAGTTTATTTCGATATATTTTTAAGAACATTCTGTGTAGTAAAATTAATAAGAACCAACCTGAGAAAAACTTAAGAGGGAGGTAAGATCGAGTTCTTAGTTACTTTTTTATTAAACAATAAAGTTTTAATTTTCAAGTGATCAAACAAATCTAAATTATTATTTAGTGTTTTGTTCCCATTAATTACTAACCTCTTTTGGCAAGTGTCAGCTTCCGTATGAGCTTTATACTGGTATTTCCATTTTTATTAGGCAAACATGTTATGCCAAGTTTTTCAACAACAACATGAGTAGCTTTCCACATAAGCAAACTTTATAAACAGGTTTAAAACAAATCCCAATTAAGGTTAAAGTTTGTATTTGTCCTGCTTTTAAATTGTGTTTACTACTCTTGAATATTTATATTATAAATTAAGATAGTTTTATCCAATTCACTTTGATATCCGCACCACGGTTTTCCGGCTGGCATATCACGTTGCGTATGAGTAATATTGTTTGGGCTTTAGATAAACGTTTGGCAACGAAAGAGAGCGGGCCAGAAATTATGTTAAATGAGCAGGCCAACACCAGAAAAAGCACTCCCACGGAAGTCGAACTCCCTCCTACAAACTCGTAATGTCCCAGTTGGGGACCCTCGTCAAAATATTTGGGGCGAGAACTCTGTCGCTGCGGTTGCAATTCAAGCGCCAAGAGTCATAAAATCCTTTATCAAATGGGAGCAGCAGGCCCATGGAACCGAAGTTGGCAGCACTCTTGACACATTTTCCGCTTTTATTGGCAAATTGAGAAACATATAAATAATAACTCGGAATGTGAACTAACTTTGAAATGATGTGGCGAGCATTGCCGGCGGCCAAAAAGGATTGCTCCAACTTGGCCGCCATAAAACTACAAATTTTTGTGGCATGTTATTAAATTTGGCTTTTTATTATCATGTGGTCTTTTGGCATTGAGATTTATGTAAGACAATATGTTGTTGTCCCCTCCAAAAAGAGAAAGCAGAGTGTGAACACAGCGTTATTTATAACGAATCGTAAAATTTTATTGCACGAAAAAACTGTGTGAATTGTTTGTGGTTGCCATAGACATAGAAAGTTAATTTAACGTAACGAATTAGGGGATTTGAGGTCCCCTTTTCCGAAGCCTCCTCTTGGTCCTTTCACATGATGGTGCAACAGCAACAGCAGTCGCCACATCCGCAGCAACAGGGGCAACAAGGACAGCAACAGCAGCTGTTATCCTTGGGAGGGGGTGGTGGTGGAGGTTGTTGAACGATCACCGTGGTGTTTGGTTGGGGCGGTACCTGAACCACCTCCACAACGCGAGTTCTGTGGTCCATTGTGATTTGTAGTTATACGGTAGTTTGGTCTATTATAATATCAACTTGACTTGTTGCACAGCACGCGTTTCGTTTTGCACTGGTCATAACACCGGGATTGTGTTATTATAGCCACGCTCTCGCCAATCTGCGTCTTTATCTATAGATAAAAGTAACTGGAACTCTTATCAGTTACCAGCGATTCGAGTGAAGTACCCAGCGATTCGTTCTGGTCTCACATTGGTTGTCCAACCAGCTTTATGATAAGAGAATAAAAAATCGATGGGTTATTTGTTACATGATTGCATTTACAAAATTTTTACGGATATACTGTGTTTCAAATAAACATGGCCACATATTAATTCAAATCACTTATGCAAATCTGATAAAATGCAGATAATTCTTATCTATTTTTGTTGTATATCTTATCTGGCTTTAAATATCTGTAGTCTACCAAACTACGTCACTGAGATACAATACTGCATTTATCAACTTCGGTGAATGGTCCACTTTAAATATGTCTAAAGTAACTCCTACCCAAACCTTGGATTTAATGGCTGTTAATTCTATGATATTACCAATGCAATACTATAGTACTCTATTTAGGTTTTAATTCTCCATTTACTTGAAGTAGAGCTCCCACTTTAATTACACCCAAGACCGGTGCCCTCATTCCCCCACGAGTTTATCAATTGAATGACTCACATTACACAAACTATCAGGGGTAACTGGAAACACGCTAATGTCGCATAATGCCAAATGGGGCAGCTAATTATATATGCCACATTATCTGAGCACTCAGAACTATATCCGACTACGCACTTTGCATTCGAAACCAGCCATCCAAGTGGCCCCATCAGCATCAGGCGTCGCATCAATTTCGGGCGAATAGTTCCTCGTTGCTATCATAAAACCGAGATCTCAATTAAAAATTTCACCCAACACCGCAGTTGGGGGGGTGGGATATAAGGTAGATTCGTTGGGTTCCGAGGGGCGTTACCTTTCTGAAATTAATAAAAATATATATTTTTGAGCGCCCTTCTTGCAATGGCGATGATAATTAGTGTACGTGATTCTATTTACTTCGACTGGCCCCCCCCACCCCCAAAAACCCCCACGTATCCCAGTAGCATCCCCGGTTGGGAAAGGGGTTGGGTGTTTCGGCGCAAAAGGAGGGTCCTTTAAGCCAAGGGAAATGTCCCTGTGTGTTTGCAGGGTGTAATATGATATGCGCGTAAAAAATATAGTACGTGTGTGCGTGACAATGGCAACAACGTGCGGCAGATCCCTAAAAGGCAATGGATGGGGTACATTGGTTTTGGGGGACTGGCGGCGAATGCCGGGTGTCAAAAATGAAACTACGCCTGCTCGGAATTTTAAAATAAGCAAATGAGTTTTAGCCTGATGAAAGCAGGCAGCATTCGAAGCTGAAGCAACAGCGGAGCCCATAAATATTTATAAACTTTCCCCTGTCATATAAATACGGGGTCATTAGTTGGCTGGCATACCTTTCGCCAGAGGTCCCAGACCTCCTACAGGATAATAAAAACGAACTAGGCGGCAATTTGAATTCCTCTACTCTATATAAAGCAGGCGACTAATAGAGTCGTTACTTTCCTCCGACATAACTAAAGGGTTAATGGGGTTCAGGCAGATTTATTAGCGGGGGAATGTTTAAAACGAGGTAATTTCTATTTTCTCAGATAGTATTAAGATTAGTTGGTTTAAAAATGGTTAATGGTATTAAAAAAAATAATATTTAACTTAATATAATCACTTATAAAAACTACGTGAAAGACCTTCTCAGAAATAAAGCATACGCATCGTTGGCCCGAAATACCAATGGCTAGTTTAACTGAGGTCAGGACCAAGCCTATCAGCTTTGTTTCTGTATAAACTCGGGGTCATATAATATATACACAATACATATAAAAATGATAAAGCAAAATGGCGAAAAGTGGCAGTAAAAAATAAAATGCGCTGCCGCAAAAGTGCCATTTGTGGCATAAACACATGCGCGCCAAAAACTTTGATAAGACAAAAGAGCCGAGCCGAGGCCACCGAACCAGGTGGGCTGTTGGGCAGGTGGGTGGTGAAAAGGTGGCAGGTGGAAAATGGAAAATGGAGAGGGCGAAGGAAGGCCGAAAACTTTGCCAAGTGTGGCGGCAGCGGGAAAGCCAGAGTGGAAATGTCCCAAGAATGAACTTCGCCGTTGGATCCTGCGACCGCAGTGTGCCACTAAATGCTGCCACTAAATGTGTGCCAAGTATTATTGCAGGTGCCACCAGGTGCCTATCTGCACACACACACGTGCCATTTGTGTGTGTGTGTCTCAGCTCTCTGCCGAATTTGCCCAAGGAGCTGGTCCTTGAGGTGTTCACCCAGCCAGGACTGGCATAAAATTAGCACAATAAAAACACATAAATGCGGCACAAAAACATGAAAATCCACTTGTTATAATTTAATCGAGTTGATAGAATTTTTACGACACCTTTCTCCAGGTGTATGTATGTGCGGAAGTGTGTCTACGCGAACCTTTGCTTAAAATGTGGGACAAAATAAAAGTTTTAATCACACGTCGCCATTTTATTGCTGGCCATGAAGATACGAAAATGCATTACCAACTTTACGTGGGCTAAACTTTAGTTTAAATAGAAATGTTAAGTGCACAATAAGAAGTGAAATCACTTAGGTTTTATACGCAAATGGGCTTAAGCAATTAGCTAAAGGTACAAAAAATCATTTAATTTATTATGCATATTCTAGGAATATAAATATACGTTTTTTCGTCTTTTTTACAAGCTAAATTTAAAATTTATCTTACAAAATTTGTTATATTTACTTGATTTTAAATCCATTTCTACACAGAGAGAATTCTAACGTTCTAATCTGAGTTCAGAATGTTCTTAAAAAAAGAACAACATTTTTGAAGATGAAAATGTTTTCATTGTGCTTAAATCAAGATGAATTGGCGGTATTTACATTGTATATCTCAACAATTAAACTATTAGTCCAGTCAGTAGTGTATACTTATTGAAAAGTTGTTAAATAAACTCCATTTAACTTTTCTCTTCTCACCATTTCTTTCTAAGATTGAGATAATTGATACCAAAATGTAAAATTAAATGTATGTTCTCAAATCAAGATCAATGTACTCTTAAAATAAGAACATTATATGTATGTTATTATTAAGTTTTTAAAACATTTATTTGCCAAGTGTAAACTTACTCCAAACATTAGTAACGAATGTCAAATTAATGCTAAACATTAAATCGGCAGTTATGCCGACTTATATCCTTGGGAACCCTCCTCATTCTCCTGACCGCTAACTAAGGAGTGGGTGGCCACCGATTCGGATTTGCTAACCCGCCGAGACTGCATTAGGGTGGCCCTTTTGTTTATCGACTCCTCCGTGTTGCACATCATGCAGTTCTCTATGAAGAGAACCAACTCCGGAGCTCCGAGGCTATGGGCGATGGGCAGGGCATCGTCCAGGGCTTCCTTAGTCTGCTCCAGTTTGTGAAGAATCGCATTGGCCTTGACTATCTGAACCACGCTGAGGAACTTCCACAGGTTGCTATTGCAGTTCTTGCTCTCTGGGGGTGCATTTTAAGAAATAATATGATATATATAATATTAAATTTAAGTACTCTATTATTCAGTGCTAATACACACAATAAAGAAGTTTGTTTACCTTTGATTGCCTTGCGAGCGTTAAAAGCACACTCGGAATGACGTCCTTGGTCCAAATACGACTGGGAAATCTGATGCAACAGATAACATTTTTCAATTGAATACTTGGCAAAAACCATTCGATGTTCCAGCCGGGCAGTCAGCTTTCTGTAAAGTTTAATTATGGGCATTTCAGATATTTTTACGGTTTTTTGAAGTATTTAAAACTTACTTGGCCCGTGTGGTCGCTGGATCGTTACCCTCAGGCTCCGGTTGTCGATCTCCAAATGTCAGTGAAACAAAGTCCTTTATTCTCTCCACCGGCAATCGCAGTAACCTCAATATTCCATTAGTACCTTGAGGTATAAAACCTTTTGGCACTCGAAGTTGTTCGGATAGAGCCAAAGCCATTGTGTTGTAGACCTCGTTGAGGAACTCGAATTTCCAGCACATCACACGGGCTGTTTTCAGCACCACATATGATCCCATAAGCTCCTCCACGAATTTGGCCAGTTGCTGTGGATCGTTTGAATTATATTAAATGATTAATATCTTGGAACTAAAGTAAATTATTTAAAAAGGATACCGGTATGGTGTTGACTCATTGTCAATTCGAATTTAATAGACCTGTTCTAAATTTCCATTGTTATCCTAGATATAACTATTCTGCTAATTAAGGTATTTCTGTAACCTATAAGATGACATAGGATATATTGTAATATTGATCCTTAAATCGAATTAGACAAAATGGTCAGAACTGAGATGCAGAACAGATCTGCAAATCTTTAAAAAGAAAGATCTCTAAAGTCGAAGGTCCCTTTTTGTCTACAAATAATTTCTATAATACAACTTTTACCCTACGGAATTTTTTTTCCAAGTATTACACTACGACTCACCTGCACCTTCTTGGCTTTACGAAGTACCCGGATTTGCTTCAAGGCCTGATTCATGTTACGATGTGTCTGATACTGTACGCGGAACAGGTAGGCCTCTCGGTATCTGTCCGACATGGCCTTATTGCGGTATTTCAGGTAGTTGACCAGGTAGAGTGGGCAACGAGATTGCAGCATTTTCTGCAGACGGGAAAAGCCAGGATCAGGATCGACAGCTGAAAACCCCCACTAATCCTACCTTACCATAAACTTACGAACGATTTCGTACTGTTTGCTAGAGAGATTCTGAAGGAAGTACGAGGATTCCTTGCACTGGGACAGCAGAAGGTTGGGATTCTTGCAGAGCATCTTCATGAAGAGCACATCGATCCAGGAGTCGTTGATGTACGACTGGTGAAAGATGTTGAAGGCCCGCTTCCGGCGGGCAATCTCCATCGGCGATAGGAGTTCCTCCGGGACCTCCGGAATGCTCTGCACATCACATTTGCCCTGCTCCTTCAGGATCTTCCACAGAGGCCGATCGTCGATCCTTTCCCTCTCCTTGATGAGGTCGTGCACAATGCTGACCGTCTTTAGATTCTTCGTGAAGAAGGCCGACATGGCCTCTCCAGTTACGTCTTTGATCACCCCATCCACCTAGTAGAAAGATTCCCTTAAAATTGTTTGCACACACAAGATAATATATTATAAGTTATGGCATCGAAATGTCTTAAATTCCTGTGGTTAATCGGTATCACTGGGTCCTAACACGTTTTTTCCCAATGATTATGACCATTTTTTAAATAAAAACTTACCACCAGCTGGCGCTGCACAAAGCTGTTCCTCTTATTGCCAATAAAGATTCGCATGTTATTGTGCATCTCGGCCTTGCTGTTTTCAAACTGGTTTAATTCGTAAAGCACGTCACAAATGTCAAGGTTGATTATGGCCTTCTCCTCGCCATCCACCTTAAGGGCCAGTTCTGATAAAAACAATAAGGTTAAATAAGTTCAAATGATGTAGATTAATTTTTATTTATTTATCTGATTCTTTCGGATTTTTAAATTGCCACTAACCCATTTTTAATGCTATTGCTATTAGGATTTAAGCTTGGTGATGTGTGGTGTTATTTACATAGTTCTTATATTAAGAATTAGATTGGATGTACTGATAAACAGATGTTCTGTCTAAATGAATTCTGGGACCGGATGGATACTAGTGAATCTTGATGATAAGACATCTCGACATATTAAAACTGAGTAATAACAATCAATAAGGGTAACATAAAGGTAACATTAAGTTACCAATGGTGTCAATGGCAGTCCCAATCTATAAAGGGTGTCACAAAAATGAATGGGCTTTTTGAATCAAACAAAGGTGTTTAAAAGTATGCAACACCAAAAGAAGACTGTGTCGTATAAAATGTTATAATAGTAAAGATAATATTAAACATAAATGACATGAATAAGTCATATAGAGGTGACTTTAGTTGGCTGTACCTATTGGTACTGTTCCCATCTATGGTATGGTTTTATAAGGGATGGCATAGAAATTAAATGAATTTTGAAATAAACCATAAAGGCGTATAAAAGTATGCAACAATTTTTTTCAAGCTATACTTTTAGATCCCCCATTATTATTCCTTATAAAATGTGATAACAGAATGGGTTTCTTAAACGAGGTGTGCTAAAACTCTGCCATCCCTTAGTAACTCACTGGCAGCATCCCGACTGTCGGCCAGGGCACCCAACATCTGGGCAGCCTTCCTCTTGCTCTGGCACCGTTTATACAGCGTCATGTGATCCGTGGGCTCCAAGGCGAGTGCCTTGTTCAGATAGTGCAGGGCGAAGTTCTCTCGGCGGCGACGGGAGTAGTATGTTCCCCAGTCCCGGTATATGTCGTGGAGCACCTCGTCCGACCAGTCTATCTTCATCCATGGCGGCAAGGCCTCATCCAAATTCGCCTTTGGCATCTCCACAATCGACGTCATTATGGCTCAGAGTATTGATGCCGCGCGTTTTTAAATTGGGTAGTGTGCAAAATTTGTGGTAAAGTTTTAATAAAACAGTGGTGATAATTTTACTATAAATTTAACAAAGGTTAAAACACATGTGAGTTGAACAGAATGTGAAGTCTGTCTAATAGGAAAACATAAAATCAGAGGTATGTTGATAAAATATTTAAGCAAAACATTCTTTCTTCAAAAAAATCATTAAAAATGTATTATTTTGATCAAAGATTTCATTTATTGCCAGCATTATTTACCCAACTGTTTGTGTACCGAGGCACAACTAATGGTTGCCCCATATTATTACAGTGGGCCTTCCGTGAGTGGCAGGTGGAAGTGGCAAGTGAGGGGGCGTCTCCGTTTCCTCTTCAACTTCGAATTCTGTCACACTTCTAATAAGCGCTTAAAAGCCACGCAAGGCTATCCAAAACCTGTGATTAAATGGGAAAAACCGGGCGGGGGAAAACCGCTGTGGAAATCCGACCGCAAGGCGAGTGACAGAAGTGGCACAGGCCACCCGATAATTGTGCATGCCCAGTGGCAACCGAGCGAAAGAAATCACTTAAAAACCCACACGGCCACCTATAAATTATGCTTCACACCCAGTTCAAATAGAAGTTGTAACAATGAAATTAAAGCCGCCACAAAGGGCAGTGATAAGTGCTGGACGTTGGAGGGAGTGGGTGGGTGTTGAACTCAACGCGATCATAAATCTAATGTGTAATAAATTTAAACAGCAAAATCATGCAAAAAGCAAAGGCAGGTCCGTGTGGCTAAGCTCACGCACAGGACTTTTTCATATTTTATTTTTATTTTTCGCCACGAAGGACCCGACAATGACTACACTTTAGCGGCAAATTTGTGCGCATTGTCGCCGTATTATTTGCTATTATTTATGCCTTTTCCACTATTTACTTCCTTTCTTAGCGCCCGCCACGCCATTTTCAGGGTGGTGAGGGGGGTAGTATGCAAAAGTGGCCACTCCTTGGCCAAAAGGGAGGAAAAGCCGCACATACATATACCGGGAAAATACACTGGGAAAACCGCAATCCTGGCTGCCTGACACTTATGGCGTGCTAAGCATTTGCGCCCGAAGAGAGGCGGCTCGCGTGGATTTTAAACATTTTCACACAACATTCTCATATTTAGACGTCGCCCATCAGCCAAAAGCCGAGTGGAAATTCGCCTGCCGGGGGTTTTCCCTTTTTCCACAGCCCCGGCGATAATGTAAGCCCCTTTAAGCCCGAAATAAGGGACGCGAATGCGACCGCACCAACAACATGCAACGGCACACGCGACCCCAAATGAAAATCTGTGAAATGTAATTGTTACCATGAAAGCAGGGCCAACTCGAATACAAATACCCATCGCCCAACGAAAAGCCCCCCCTTTTGAGGGCATTTTAAGTAAGTTTCGCAGTTTGATAATCGCCGGGCCTCAGCCGCCAACGCTGATATACAAATTGGCTTTCGCAATGACTTTATATATTTTACGAGCTGCGGTCCTTTTTCGGGAAATCGTCCTTTCGCCCTTTTCCGTTTCGCATGTGAGCCGTCCTCTGATGCGATTATAAAGGAAAACTGATGCAGATAAAATTAATTGAATTCAAAAAGCCAAGCCATTGGTCTTGCTCCTTCCGTTTTCCTGCCAAAGTGCCTGCACTTGGCTGGCGAATTTTCGCAATACTTTTCTGGGTCATGTCATGAGGAAAGTAAATAGTTACATGGCCACGAGTGGCTTAATCAGGAATTAAAATCAAGTTGTTCCACTCGCATGGCAAATTCTCAAATGCAGAATGGTGGAAAGTTTGATTTCTAAAGGCAGTAAATAAAGTCCTATTGTATTGAATAGCCCAAGTATATAAGTAATAAAGCTAATATATCTAGAAAATTTAAAATATCTTTATCTGCCATTCTGTAGAACAGGGGTTAACGATTAGGGGCTTTCTATTAAGCCCTAAATTCCGCATAAGATTCCATTATTTTGGGAGCTCTATCCTATCGATTTTCCAAACAAACCTTTCATAAAACTGGGCGTACCTGTGAATAGATTGATTTTGAAAGTAATGAATGTTATCTCGAAAGTTTACATCACTGAATTACTTAAGTTGTATTTGATGATTAGCGCTGTTCTAGAATAATAAAAAATACAATTCTTTATCGTCGTTAGCTCTTTTTATAAACTTGAACTTGACTTTCGCATACTTTTAATGCATTAAGCTCTATCTTATCGTAGGTAGAGGAACTTTTTTTATACAAGACGCACCTTTTAAAAGATTTGCTTTAAAATAATATTGTTCATAGAAATGCTTATCTTTGTAGAAAACCTTAGAGGGGTTTTCCACATAATATTTGCCATGACTAACTCTGCTCCAGGCATTTACAAGTTCTTACTCATCGCCATGAGGAATATATTATACCACATCTTGTGGTAACAAACACGTCTATCGATTAGCAAGCTATATACCACAGATTAGATAAGTCTTATCTTTATAAGGAGAGAGTCTCGATTAGATTTGCACTGTCAATTGGTGTTTAGTTGCCTATAAGAGTTGGATCCATTCGCACGTTGTTCGAAGTAAATTAAAATATTAGAAATATGCCACCACCACACGGAGGACCTGGAGGACACGGACATGGCGGTCATGGACATGGTGGACCCCCTCATCACGGTGGACCCCCGCATCATGGAGGTCACCATGGACCACCGCATCATCATGGTCCACCCCATCATCATGGACCTCCTCGTCCCTGCTGCCTTTGCTGCACAATTTCCTAAGGAATTTAACAACTTAACAATGAATTTACGATAGTTTTAAGGATTGAAGTAGAATAAATACGCTTGCCCCAAGGAAGTTCTGCAACTCTGTGTGTATGTCTAAAGTTAATAAGCCGTCTAATTAGTGTAATCGAGTGCCTCGAGTGCTAGGCAATTAATGGCTGGCTAATCATTATGTGTCACCTCAAAACGCTTTTAAACCTCAAAAGCCGCTGTTTTCCAATACCAGTGTACCAATGGTATCTGTGTGTTTTGTTGCGTGTCGGGAATGTGTGTGTGTGTTTTCGTGTGTGTGAGTGGCAGTGGGGGAAGGGGAAAGTGGGGGTGGAGGTCCTGGAGCCTCACACACGCACTTGGCATTTAAGGTCGGACTGGTCGGTGGCTCTAATTTATAGCAGCCAAGTGGATGCCGAAGACCAGAAGACATACAAGTGCCATAAATTCTGGCAAAGGAACACATTATTTATACTGTCAACCGGTCCATATTTCGGATGGGAAGTACGAAATACGAAATACTCCAGCCTAACCATAAATAAGTGCATTGCCTTTGCCGTGCTGCGATATAAGTCTTCATTAGCGGTTAAAAGGCTGACTGGTTGACCCACAAAGGACTTCTCATGGCTGTGAAATCGGTTCTTCACTCACAACTCGCCATTTTCCATTCACATTGAGCTGTCGCCCAGCCGCAGAAAACGGCCGCCGCATTAAAGCCGGAAATGCCCAAACAACAACATGAAGGGAAATGCTTAAAGTTCAAATTAAGCACAACAGCTGGCGAAAAATTGAATTGAAAGCTGAAGCAGGAGCAGAGTGGCAGCAAAAGCAACAAAGAGTCGCTGCTCCCGGTCACCCAGCCCCGAAAAAAACCCCCAAAACCCCGTCGAATCCCAGCCCTCGAACCCAAAACTCAACTCAACCCAAGGCATTTTCACGACAAGCAGGGAAAAACAGTGAAGGGAAAACCTGAAAGGAAAAACCGAAGCACGCTTTCAGGCGATGGAAGCGCGATGTTAGCAATAACTTCGGGCCATCAGCTGGTTAAGAAAGAGCCCCAAAGAGAGTGAATAATTCTAAAACTGAGAGTTGAGAGAAACAATAAATTGAGGTTTTCCGGGCACAGTGGCGCCACTTTTCCTCGTGGCGTTCAGTTCTTGTACTAAGACACGCATGCGTCGCAATATTGAGTGAAATTCGGAAAAATCGGAGAGCGAAATCTGAGGTTTGGTTAGTGCTTCGAACAAAGCTCAAGGGTTTGGATGTCAATTGTAGAACATTTTGATTGTTCTGCCCCACCAAAAGCCATAAAACTTAAGGCTTTGCCAAATTTTACTGTTTCGATAGTTGGTATTGCTAAAAATAAGTGCTGATTAGGAATTGGAGTTGTTTTGTCTCTACATATAAAGGCTGTCAGTCAACGATCAACCGATCCTAACCGATAAAATTGTAAAATGTTTATAAAATAACTATGTTTTGTTCTGGTTTTAACATGAGCATGTTCCTATTAAACAAAAAACAATATAATATTACTTCGCTCTTCGAAACATTTTAAAAATAGTATCTTATATCTCTGAAAGTCAAAGAGATTAAGTTATCAATAAAAGACTAAAATACTTTGATACTTTGTCATTTTTACTGCAGATTCCGTAACACACCCATTTCAATAAGTATTAGTTACATTTCAGTTCCATCTTAGGAATCATTTTAAGGGATTTTACCTCTCAACACCTGAATGGTTTTCCATGGAGACATTGCGTTATAATGCCTCTTGTTGGCTCTTGTATACAATTTCCTGGCTTTATTTATTCAGCATTCTTGATTGTTTTTTGCCTTTCCTGCTTCATTTCCTGTGCTTCACATTCACAATGATGCAAAGTGGCTGCCCCCAAAGCTCTGGCATTATCCCAAAGTGTGTAATTACGTATGCTACTGGGCGTATGCTGCCCTTACCCCCTGTTCGCATAGTTTCAGTCTAGTTGCAGTGCATAAATTATGTTAGGCCAAAGTGCAAGCAAAGTTATGTAGACGGACTGGGTTTGTTGGAAAGATTAACGCCTTCGTTTTGTTTTTAATGCGGCACGGCACTCACATCGGATGCACTGCCACCATTTCCACACCCACTCGCCCACATGCTGATGCTTATGCCACTAAGCCGTCTGCGAGGAGCAGGAAAAACAAACTGCAACGGAAGCTGCACCTCCTCGTCGAGCTTTTCCCCCCACTTTTCCACCGACTCTGTCACTTTTGGGCGACTGTTTCATGACGGCCACTTCAGTGCCAACTACAGCGACAATAATACCACCAAAGCCCCAAGGCACTGAGAAAAATAAATGATTAAATCTAATTACCAAC